CAGCAACCTCAAACTCTTGGGCTTAAGCGATTCTCTTGCTTCAGCTTCTCAGTAGCTGGGACTACAGGCACCTGCCACAACACCCAGCTATTTTTTTTATTATTGCTGTCATTATTTAGCAGACCTTGGCTGGGTTTGAACCCACCCACCCTGGTGCGTCTGGCCAGCGCTCTAACCACTGAACTACAGGTGCCAAGCCCACATAATTATTATGAGATAGGCACTGTCATCATCACTGCTAATACAGCCTATTACTACCCCACCACTCCTCACAGCTGCCATGTGCGTGTGGAGCACTTATATGTAAAGCTACCACTTCACACATATGACGTTATTTACCTCCAAAACAACTCCATGATATGATTATTATTCCCATCAACTAAGGTCTAGATCTGAGTTGTTAAAGAGACCTAAATAAGATAACATATTTAGGTAATATAATTGAACCCAGATCTGATTCTAATACCTGTGATCTTTTCTTTCCAACTGAAACACAACTGCCAAGTATAGTGCTGAAATGATGGAAAGTATTCAATATGGTTAGGTGAGCACTACTTTTAACACGTCAGAAAGGCAGCCATCAATCCATTAGTGTATGTTCTGATTTAAAGGGTTGAGACAACACTAAAATATTAGCTAAGAGAATCTAAGAACTCAATCTTTCTGAAGAAGAATATGAGTTCTATGGATCACTTGCTTAATTATCCTATTATTAGCCAGTTACTCTTTAGTCACTTGGAATAGTGAGAAGGGGGAAACTTTATTAAGACTGCATACAGTTTTGGAATCTTTTTCTCCATAAGTGAAAAACAACTGCTAAATCTGAATCTCAGAGACTCTTATGAATTCATAAATAAACATACCTGGCTGAAGTTCAAATGCTGTTGCTGGAATGCTGATGTCAGTTTCTGCTGACGATTACCCACTGCAGAAGGCTGGTTTAATTTTCCAGGGGCAGATCGTCCCTTTATTAACGGCTGGCATATAGAATCTGACAATGAACAAAATATTAGAGAACTGATACCTTTTCCACCTCTTTATTAGAAAAAAATTAGAAAAATCTTTAGCTTCTTTACAAAGTAGTGATTTGAGAACCTTAAAATTAAAAAGAAAAGAAAGCTCCTAGTTTCCAAGCACTGGATGATATTAGAAGGGATTTCTACTATGTAATAGATGTGGCAGTGTCAGGTTGCAAATTCCAAGATGACTTCTGGCAATCCTGTTCTCTAATATTCCTAGACTAAGATCTCTTAAAGGACAACCAGGGAAATAGGAAGACTCACTTTACCTGTGTTTGCCATATGCTCATCGGCATTTAATCCACTTTCTAGTCCCACTGGTGGCACCACGACAGTACAAACAGCTGGCTTGGTTCCTGTGTCAGCAGAGGTTACGAGTTCTGTGTTTTGATGAGTACCCTCCACAAAAGTGCTCTCTGCAAATGGGCTGTCATGCCCTGAAGAGTCTGATGTTGGTGAGCCATCCACAGTGTCACAACCACTTTCTTGCTCTTCATCTGACATACTACAAGAAGGCACTTATGAATATTTTTTCCCACATTAAATCTAATAGTAAGTAATACCCAGCCTCTAGCAAACTGATGAGAATTTTCCTTATTTATATATAATTCTACCCTTTTCCAATAGCATTTTTTCATAAAATTTCTAGACCTTCAAATTAATTCTCTATTCAGACTGCTTAACCCTAACTCTGTCCCAGTATAGGATTGTCTGGTAGCATTTAATTTTTTTTTCTCCTTTTCCTTCCCATTTGATCTTTAGTATCAGTTCATAAAATTCCATTTCAGTTTATAAATTCAAGATAATTTCATTAAGCTATGACAAAGAAATACTGTTCTGGATAATTTAAATGAAATGCTACAAACAAGGCCAGACTAGTGGCTCACACCTGTAATCCCAAGACTTTGGGAGGCTGAGGCGAGAGGATTGCTGGAACCTGGGAGCTTAAAGCTGCAATGAGCCCAACTTGGGCAACAAAGTGAGAAAAGAGAGGAGAGCGATACAAGTATGCAATTTGGATATTTCAGATTAAATTCTAATGTTAAGATACGTGCCTTTCACGATAATCTGGGTCCTTTTAACTAACCAGTTATCTGAGCGGTCTGCCCCACTCCTCTGAAGGCCTAGGCAGAGCCCTGTATTTCTCATCTCGTCCTCACGTTCTTTGCACTTGACAGTCTCTCTCTCCTTGGGATTTCCACAGCATTTACTATCTCTTTTAATAACTCGTTTCACATTTAATAATTTGAAGCACCTCTCTTTATATGTATTTTATTAATATATCTTTTATATATATTTACACCTATATTTTATGAGTATGTATTTATGTAATGTATGTATGTATCAACTTCCAAACTATATTATAAGCAACTTTTAATAAGAAGATATATTTAAAGTTCTTTATATCTTCCAGACTTTGGAAAAAAATATTCAATACCATATTGCCTGCCAGGTGCAGTGGCTCATGCCTATAATCACAGCAGGCATGTGATTTGAGAGGCTAAGGTGGGAGGATTGCTTGAGCTCAGGAATTCGAGGCTTGTCTGAGAAGAGTGAAACCCCAGACTCTTGAAAAAAATTGAAAAACCCAGCTGGGCACTGCAGTGAGCGCCTGTAATCCCAGCAGCAGCAGGATGCCCACAGACCGAGTCTGAGGTTGCAGTGAGCTACGAGACCTTTGCACTCTGCTCTGGACATAGGGTAGAACTCTGTCTCGACTCCCCCACCCCCCCAAAAAAAACATATTTCCTAGAAAAAAATGGAAAAAATGTATAAAACTAAGACTTAATTTTTTTTTAATTTTGGTACCACTAAAAAAGAATTCCTAAAAGCTAAAATCAAAGGTATTTAGTGACAATTCTTGTAGCTTCTCTCTTTTTCTTTTCTTTTTTTTGAGTCACAGTCTATGTCACCCTCAGTAGAGTGCCATGGCATCATAGTTCATAGCAACCTCAAAGTCTTGGGCTTAAGCGATTCTCTTCCCTCAACCTCCCAAATATTTGGGACAGGCACCTGCCACAACGTCTGGCTATTTTTGTTGTTGTTGTTCTCATGGTTGTTTAGCAGGCCTAGGCCAGGTTTGAACTCGGCAGCCCCAGTGCATGTGGCCAGCGCCCTAACCACTAAGCTACAGGCACTAAGCCCCTTTTTATTTTTGTTAAAGGCAAGGAGGTCTTGCTCTATCATCCAAGCAGAAATGCAGTGTAGTGATTATAGCCCATTGTAGTCTCAAACTCCTGGGTTCAAGTGATCCTCCAACTTCAGCTTCTGGAGTAGCTGGGACTACAGGTACATGCCACCATACCCAGTTAATTTTTAAGGTATTTTTTGTAGAGACAGGCCTCTCTATTTTGCCTAGGCTGGTCTTGAACTCCTAGTCTCACGGGATCCTCCCAACTCAGCCTCCCAAAGTGCTGTAATTTCAGGCACAAGCCACTATACCTGGCTGATGGCTTATCTCTTAATGTGTTATCTCCCTTACACCAGGCTGGTAAGGAGAAGCTTACTACTTTAGTAGCAATACAAGTCCCTGGCCAAAAAGAAGGCTAGGGCAAAGAAATATGGATAAAATCATGCAAATCAGTCACCAATGAGAGATAAAAATCATAGTGGAAGGCCGGGCACCATGGCGTACACCTATAATCCTAGCACTCTGGGAGGTGTGAGACAGATGGATTGCCTGAGCTCACCACAGGTTTGAACCCAACCTGAGTCAGAGTGATACTCTGTCTCTAAAAATAGCCCAGCATTGTGGCGCCTATAGTCCTAGCTACTTAGGAGACTGAGGCAAGATAATAGCTTGAGTCCAAGAGTTGGAGGTTTCTATGAGCTATGACACCATGGCATTCTACCGAGGGTGACAAAGTAAGACTCTATTTCCAATAAAAAAAAAAAAAAATCATAGTGGATATGCTATAGACAGTGTGACAATAATTACTTCACTATGCAAAGTATTCCTTTTTTACTTTAAGTATATGTTTTTATTCAAAAATGAAGTTACAATAGTAATCTGTGGAGCTGAAATTAAACATGTTTTCTTTTTTTCCTTTTTTTGAGACAGAGTCTCACTCTGTTGCCCTGGGTTGAGTGCCATGGCATGATTATAGCTCACAGCAACCTCAAACCCTTGGGCTCAGGTAATCCTCTTGCCTCAGCCACCCAAGTAGCTGGGACTACAGGCACCTGCCATGATGAAGATGCCCAGCTAATTTTTTCTATTTTTAGTAGAGGTGGGAGGGGAAGTTATCTTGCTCTTGCTGAGGCTTGTCTCAAAACTCCTAAACTCGAGCGATCCACCCACCTTGGGTATTTTCATTCAAAAGCCTTTTAAAAATAGATGATTCTTTAAAATTCATTTATTAAAACTTTAATTTTTCATTTCAAGCATTTCTAGAACAATAAAGAAAATGACTACTAAAACTCTGAGATTATAAAAAGTAATCTAGTTTAAAAACTGTGTTCAAAAAAGAAGTCACTACCATAAATTCCAGGTACTTATGAAACAACACAGGAAGAAATCATAGGCTTTTTTGTAGACTTAGTATTTCTACTATCAAAATTCCTTTACCTATTCGGTCTCTTGCAAGGGGATGGGCTGGACTGCTCTGAGGAGCTGGTGCTCAGAGTACTATCAGGACTACTTAGTGAACACATCCGATCAATGTTCAAAGTGCTCTGGCAAGCTTCACAATCTAGACTACCTTTACATCTGGTGGAGGAGAAAAGAGAAAAACATGGGTCAAAATGAGAAGATACTTGCCAAGTACCCCAAATTTACATTCTTTAATTAAGGATATGAAAACAGTTAAGAATGACCTATTAGACAAAAAGCAAGTAAAGCATACAGGGAATAATGCTGTAATAACCATGGTAAATACTATTTAGAACGTTCCCTCTGTTTAGAATCTGATTCTCTAACTTTTTTTTTTTTTAAGAGACAGAGTCTCACTGAGTCACCCTCGGTAGAAGTGCCATGGCATCACAGCTCATAGGAACCTCCAACTCTTGGGCTTAGGCAATTCTCTTGCCTTGGCCTCCCGAGTAGCTTGGACTACAGGCGCCCACCACAACGCCCAGCTATATTTTTTTTTTCTCTGCAGTTTTTGGCTGGGGCTGGGTTTGAACCAGCCACCTCCAGCATACAGGGCCAGCGCCCCACTCCTCTGAGCCACAGATGCCACCCACACCTGGCTATTTTTTGTTGCAGTTTGGCCGGGACTGGCTTTTGAACTCACCACCCTCAGTATATGGGGCCAGAGCCCTACTCATTGAGCCACAGGTGCTGCGCCTGATTCTCTAACTTGAAGGTTTTTATCCCCAGATTAATATAAGGGTACATATGATTAGGTTAGTTGTTTGCATTAGTAAGATAAAGTCCAAGTTACAGCTGAGTCCTTCACCCAGGAAGTGTGCCATATACCCCTATATTGTACCCATTAGGTGTGAACTTACTGATCCCTTCCCCTCCTCTCCTTATTAAATTTAATTGTGTTTTTCTCTCATTTAGTTCTATAGTTGTTGATGTACTAGTTTCAGCTTAGTACTTCATACTCCAAAGGACATTGAGAAGGAAAAAAATTCTCAGAAAGTTATTTTTTTTGTACACCAGAGGGCGCAGTCATTATCCTTTACAAATGACTGCCTTGGGCACTTACTCTCTCAGTGAATGTCGCTGTGAAGTTTCTTCCTCATCAGTGTCGCTGCTAATAGTGATCACACTTACTGCAGGACTTGGGGAGTCAGCAATGATAATGGTTTGCCGCTGTTTGTCTGAAACTGATGAATCAGAGTCCTGTCTGATAGATGTTTCACAGCAATTTCTTCCCTCTCCTTCTGAGTTACGATTGTCCTGTGTTTCTATACAACTTACTTCCTCGACATCTTTCTCATTTATTACTTTTGGAGAAATAAATGCTGAATGTGGGATATTGGTATTCTGCAATGAATTACTCCTGCAACCAAAGGAATAATTTATAATTTCTATAATCAAAATATGTAGATGACATTTTTCTAAGCTATATTGTTAAGTTGAATAATGCAAGCCTTTGCTTGTTTACATATAACTATAACAAACATATAAAGTATGAGCTTTTGTGAAATTTAAAGTACCTCTACATGTAGTGTAGATTGCATTTACATATATTTAAAAGGTCATTTTTTTCTGTAAATGTGATATCTGAATGTCTACAATTGCTACATTATAGATAGATAAGTCAAAGGGGCAATAAAGACAATCTTACCAACTGAAAGCATTTATTTCCTCTCTTCCTGGCTCCCATTCCATTAGTTTTACCAAAATACCTCTGAGAAATTGAGAAGGGAGCTGGCTTAGTGGTTTGTAACAAAGCTACCAAAGAGGCCATTTTGAATACAACAGAGTGACCCTTAAGTGTTCATGCAAAATTCATTTTAAAGATTAATTCTCAAAATGCAGAGGAAAATTAAGAGTGCCAATACCAACCTGTTCTGGCAGAGTTTATTTTTCTTGGTAGTAGCAGGTTGAGGCCAGACAACATGTGCAATGCCCACACTAATAGGCTGAGGGGCCGATAAAGTTATCTGATTGGTTAGAAGAGGTTGAGGCATCACTGAGTTATAATGATTGCTGCGTGACATCATTTTCCTAGGGAGAAAGTTCAGAAAAATTGAATCCCTTCTTTATTAAGATCCATTCACAAAAAAGCACTTTTATTTTTTTTTATTTGTTTTTTTAGAGACAGAGTCTCACTTTCTCACCCTCGGTAGAGTGCCATGGCAGCATCACACAGCTCACAGCAACCTCCAACTCCTGGGCTTAGGTGATTCTCTTGCCTCAGCCTCCTGAGTAGCTGGGACTACAGGTGCTTGCCACAATGCCCAGCTATTTTTTTGTTGCGGTTTGGCTGGGGCCAGGTTTAAATCCACCACCCTGGTATATGGGGTCGGCACCCTACTCACTGAGCCACATGCACCACCCAGAAGCACTTTTAATTTTAACTTACCCCCAATCTCCAAGCCTTTGTGAGCAAGCCACACCCTCGGAAGTTAGTGTAGAAGTAGCAGGAGCCATGGGTGTTACTTGTTGCCAAGCAGGTACCAGCATCTGCTGTGTTCTACCAGACCATGTCTATTCCATCAGAGCAAAGCAAAAGAAAACAAAAATTAAGTTATAAGTAACTTAACTTTACTGTATCTTAAATTCAAATTATTATATCAAAATAAAAACTAACAATTACAAAAGTTAAAGTCAATAACCTATGAAAAGAACTGAAACCCTATCCAGGTCATTTTTGTTATTTCCCAATAGCATAGGCTAATATATGGAGAGCACATATCCAAAAGAAAGAATTACCACCAACCTGAGAAAGAACTCCTGGTCGGATCTGTAATGGCTGCACAGCTGGAGCCTGAGTTACGAGGGGAACTGTATTATCTACCCTTATTGAATAACTAGTGGGTTTACCATGTGTTGCAGGAATACCTGTGAAACAGAACAGTTATCAAATGATAGGGAAAAAAAAAAACTTCCTCTGATTTAACTTATACCTTTATTTTAAATATAAAGAATTGCTTAAAATCCGATAAGGATTATAAATTCTAATACGCAAAATTTTCACAAGACTAACAACACATACTATTAGGAAAGTGAGGTGCTTCCTATCAACCTTGTGGTACACAGCATTTAAAAAAATCTTATGAAGTTATTCTTTGTATTAAAATGCATACTATAAAGTTGAGCCATTTATTTTTCTTGAAATTTCTCATTTCCTTTAAAGGTTTGCTATTGAAGCTTTACTTGCCTTTTCAATAGCTTTGTAACTATGACAACAAGGAAAGGTGAACCTGGCTTGATATTGAGATATCCTAGCATGTTCTTTTCATAGAATTTTTAGCTATGATTAATACTTTTTTTCTTTAAAACTGTGATAGGATTTAATGCTCTTGTTTAAAAGGGAAACGCATCACAACTCCATAATGCAGTGGACATGACGGTTTACACAATGAATGAAATTCAGGGATGGTACATTCATTTCAACCGCCAAAGGGAAAGCAAAAAATAACCTATTCAGCCTAATTTGATGATTTAACTATACTTTGCCTAATGTGGATGACTTGACTAGTTTTACTAGCAGAGAGCTGAATGGAACTCCAGAACAAGCATGTTACCATTCTGCTTACCTACTGGGCAAATTAGAAACCAGGATTACCAGCAATGTTAATCCTGTTGATGTTAATAACTCTGTTTCATACATGGCAAAGTACCTTTTAAAAATTAAGTCTTACAAAACTGAACTTTGAAGATAGCAAAGTAGTACCATATTCCAAGTTAGAGTGTTGATTAACAAGATTTTAGGGACATCCCTCAAGATCAGAAAGTATATGAACTAAAATCAATTCACTACTTAATAATTCCAGTCTGTTGCAGCAGCTGGAAAGTGAAGGTTATTTAAATACAATTGGTTTGGATATAAAAGTGATGATGTTTTTTTCTGTTCAGAGATAAGAGAAAAATATAATTGTTTTCTTTTCCTACTGAAAAACCTTAAAATTTTTATTGTACACATATAAGTATTATTCCTTAAGAGAATGTTAATTTTGTTCTGTTTATTTTCTTCATAGAGACTTTTATCTTACTGCCAGGGTGTTCTACTACTCTCTGTGCTCTGCCTAAAGAGCTAGATACAAATTAAGTTTAACACAAATCTACAGGTTTGTTTTTTTTTAACTGATCTTCTTACCCCTTCCAAAAAGCATGTCTTGATCAGCAAATTCTCCAAGAAATGGAATATAAGCACACCCAGGCAGTGTAGATATATGGCAGCAATAGACAATCTCTTCAAGAAAAAAAGCAGAATTCACTTTGACAAGGATGAAAAGACAGAGCGAATTCTCAAATCTGAACAAAAATCTCATTGCCCTTAAATTCTCTCCCATAAGCAATGCCTTAAGATGAGAATTCTCATATATATCAATCTCTCCACATGAGAGCTAATTTTTGATTAAATACAACAGTGGGTTAAGATCTCAATTTATTATACAGTTATTAGGTTAGCTGTAAATTTACCTTTGTTTGTATTTGCTTTAATACTTGGAGAACTAGGTACAAAAACTCATAAAGATTGTTTCACTATAACAGAGGAGAATTTTGCTGGCATGTATTTGACTCTAAAATAGTAGCTGTCATCCAGAGGGGATGAATAATTAATCTTCCAGGTTGCTAAATAATTTTAAAGTTTTGCTTAATATATAAAACTAACATTCTAATTTGTTAAATAAAAGCTCATTTAAGTCTTATGTACTAAATAACAATTTCTTTTAAAATAAGCCTACTCTGGCTCGGCGCCTGTGGCTCAATCGGCTAAGGTGCCAGCCATATACACCTAAGGTGGTGGGTTCGAATCCCCAGCCCAGGCCCGCCAAACAACAATGATGGCTGCAACCAAAAAAATGGACAGGCGTTGTGGCGGGCGCCTATAGTCCCAGCTACTTGGGAGGCTAAGGCAGGAGACTTGCTTGAGCCCAGGAGTGGGAGGTTGCTGTGAGCTGTGATGCCATGGCACTCTACCCAGGGAGATAGCTTGAGGCTCCGTCTCAAAAAAAATAAATAAATAAAATAAGCCTACTCTTACAGATGTAGTATCTATATGCTTATACTTGTACATTAAACCTATAATATCCAAAACATACAAAATGCATGACTAAAATACTATAGCTCCAAAGGGAAATAAAATGCTTTTTTTTTTTTTTTTAAATTGAGACAAAGTTTCATTTTGTTGACCTTGGTAGAGTGCCATGGTGTCACAGCTCACAGCAACCTCAAACTCTTGGGCTTAGTGATTCTCTTGCCTCAGCCTCTCAAGTAGCTGGGACAACAGGTGCCTACCACAACACCTGGCTATTTTGTTGTTGTTGTTGTCTTTGTTGTTTAGCAGGCCTGGGGCGGGTTTGAACCCACCAGCCTTGGTGCATGTGGCCAGCGCTCTAACCACTGAGCTACAGGCGCCGTGTATGAAATAAAAATCTCAGGTGAAAGGGACAGACAAAAATTTATTTTTAAGTACAAACCACAATGGTACTACAATTACTATCCTATAGGTGCCCAATAATTATTTTTAAATATTTCTTGGAAATGGATTGGTACATTATGAGGAGGAAGCATTACGAAACCCAATATTGAGATTTTCTATAGGGATGTTATGACTGATTAGAGGGAAAGCTTTCACTTCTAAGGGAAACACTTATACCAGGATGAAAAAAAAAGAAACAACATCTTTATAGAACTTGCCTCTCCTACTGCTACTGTATCTGCTACTAAGCTAACACAGATTTTGCTTCCTCTCACTATTAATTCTAATTCAAGAGCATTATTCTTGATGTTTAATGGCTTAATAAGAGTTGAATCCTTTTTATTCAGTTATCCTTATTATTAACCACTCAATAATTTGCTATCATATGTACAGAAAGATTACTAGCTTTTTATCAATTATAAACCATATAGAGATAAAAGATTCGTCTAACTTCACTGAAATGTTGTAAGAATGATGTTAACCTTGTTTAGAAATGTGTCTCATCAAGTTCCTTAAGTTTTTGCTATAAACAGAAGGTAGACTCTGGGGGAAAACTGCTATTTCAAACCTTCATGAAATATAGCTCAGTGTAGGTGGTGACCTTCAAATTGACTTTGGGACATGACAGAAATTACTAGAACCAAAGAACCTGTATGTTAATATAGATTAGAAACTTAGCTGAAAGTGCATTTGTTAAGTGGTATTTGTCAAGATACCACTGAAGCGATAACTGATTTAAAAATTTACCTTGTATGCTGAAGTATTTAGAAGTAAAATGTCATAAAATCTACCACTTATTTTCAAAGGGTATAGGTACATGTACTACAGATAATACAAATATGCTAGAATATTAACACTCACTGAATCTAGGGTAGAACATAGGAGTCCTTCAACTTTCCCCTGTGTTTTGAAATTCTTACAACAAACAGTTGGGGAAAAACCAAAACCAAAAAAACACAATAGCATCTTTTAAGAGTGCTTACAATATAAATGCAAGCATTTTTATTACCAAAGACCAGCCGTGGGTCACCATTTCAGATACTCACAGACCACCACTGAATCACAATATCATCTTTACAAGCAACTATTTGTCTTTTTTTCTTTTTACAGTGATACAAATCCTTCTCCCAATGAGATCTTATATGAAAACCCAAAATATAAAAGTGATAAAAGTAAAGCTACCCTGGTAGAACAACAGTAGCTAAAAATCTAATCTGTTTTCACATCTCTCTCTCTCTCTCTCTTTTTTTTTTAAGACAGAGTCTCACTTTATTGCCCTCAGTGACATCTCAGCTCACAGCAACCTTAAACTCCTGGGCTCGAGCAATCCTGTTGCCTTAGCTTCCCAAACAGCTGGGACTACAGGCACCCTCCAAAACACCTGCTATTTTTTTTTTGGAGCGGGGGGGTCCTCCCTCTTGCTCACACTGGTCTCAAACCCCTGAGTTCAGGCATTCCACCCACCTCAGCCTCCCAGAGTGCTAGGATTACAGGCACGTGCTAGGATTACCACGCCCAGCCTGATTTTCCTATCTCATATTACCAGCCAATCAAGTCAATAAACATTCTTGGTGCTTTATTAAGTAGTATGGGAGATAGTAAGATAAAAATTTTTTTTAAGTTGCTCAAATATCCATAAATAAAAAAAATCAGGTTGGTCACAGTGGCTCACGCCTGTAATCCTAACACTTTGAAAAGCCAAGACATAGAAGACTGCTTGAGACCAGGGGTTCAAGGCCAGCCTGAGCAACATAGCAAAATCTCATCTCTTTTGAGAAAAAAATTATTTACATATATCTATTTATATTATAGATAGATATATATATACACACACACACACATATACATGTGGTATATACACACATGTATGTGTGTGTGTGTGTGTATTAGCCCAGTCTGGTGACAGGCACCGGTAGGCCTAGCAACTTGGGAAGATAAGGGAAGATGATTATTTGAGTCCAAAAGTTTGAGGTTACAGTAAACTATGATTGTACCATTGCATTCTAGGCTGAGCAACGGAGCAAGACCCTGTCCCTAAAAGTAAACAAAATAACCTCAGACTCCAGAAATATTAGAGCTAGAAATGACCAGGATATTATGTATCCAGTTTGCTTTCTTTTACTAAAGCTGAAATAGCTGGTAAATAGACCAGCACAGACTCACACAGAAAACAGCAGAAAGAGAACTAGATTGCAGGTGTTGTGACTGAGCACCAACTGCTTTCATGTAGCATCATCACTAAGCTGTTCACGGTGATTTAGGGGCCCCTTTGTAATTGACCTCTTGATTTAATACAGAACTAGATGTCTGAATTATATCATCCAGGCCATGAGAAAAAAATTAAAAATAAATTAAATTAAAATAGTAAAATAACTAGATACAAAATCTTAGCAGGACAAAATCCTAAGAAAGGACCTAAGAAATAGGTTATTCCAGTTGCTAGGTTTGTGGCTACTGGCCTGTTTTTTGCTATCATGCTCTAAAAGCCACTAAAGGATTTGCCAGTATGAAAACATGTGGCTCTTGAACAGTATTCTGCCACCCATCTCTCTTGAGGATTTAATTGGCTATATTTATCTAAAGGAGGAACATCATCTAATTTAATCAAAATCAATCCATAATACAAGCATTTTTACCTAAACTATAGGTAAACAATAAGACTATGACATTTTAGGGCAGAACTCTTTTAACCAAAATTATTAAAAACTCAACTCTTACTCTAATGTTTAGTAATTATGGACAAAAAATATATACTTACCTGATCATTTAAAAAGCAGGTGCTACCCAGTATAGGGCAACCTATAGCTTTCCAAGCTCATTACTTACTTACTATTAAGGTATTTTTATTATGTAAGATTCTATAGGAAATGCAATTTTCATATAATCCCATTTTGTTAATGATGACTGCAATGGAACTTTAGTCAAGAAATGAATGCCAGTGGTCTCAAGGCTACTGGACAGTTTAAGTTAAACTCAAATGCAGCACTAAATACAAAAAATACTGTCCAACAAATTTAATGAACAGCTGACTAAACTTGCTTAAAAATAATGCAAGCCTAAATTCAAAGCATAATTTAAATGACTTAAATGAAATACCTTGAACAGTTGGGGGGCAGATAATCAGCGTCTGCTGAAAAGCATCACCACAACCAAACTGAGCAGCTCCTGCCTGCAGAGGTATTCCATGGTGTACAACTGAATGAGCGGATGTGGTCAACGCCTGAAACAATCAACGTACAGTACATTATACACTCCAGTCTGTTATGTTACACACATGCTATATAAAAAGAATTCCAACAAGTTTCTTAAAATCATAATTCTACAATAAAAATACATCCAGAAAAACAGAATAAAAACAAGCTAATCCAACTAAAATTTAAAAACGCATTCTACTGAACTCTACTTTTGGTAGAGTGGTGGCACTGGAGGGGAGGTGAAAGACACTGAGAAAATGAAAGAGAAAAGAGAAAAGATGAATTTGAGGAAATAAGCTCCAACAGATACCCTGAAATTTTAAGAGAGTCAAAAGAATAGCGATAGTAAAACCTCTTTAGCAATGTAATTTTTAATTGCGAACCTGAAATTTCTATGTAGTTCAAAGGCAAAATAAGTAATCATTTCTAAAAACTGTATAGGCCAGGTACAGTGGCTCAAGACTGCAATCACAGTACTTTGGGAGACCGAGGCTGGAGGATCGCTTCAGGTCAGGAGTTCAAGACCAGCTGGACAACACAGTGAGACCTCGCTTCTATAAATATATATATATATTTTTTTGAGACAGAGTCTCACTATGTCACCCTTGGTAGAGTGCTGTGATATCACAGCTCACTTGGCTTCAGCTATTCTCTTGCCTCAGCCTCCCAAGTAGCTGGGACTACAGGTGATTGCCACAATGTCCAGCTATTTTTTTGTTGCAGTTGTTTAGCTGGCCCAGGCTGGGTTTGAACCCGCTACCCTCGTTGTATGTGGCTTGCGCCATAACCACTGTGCTACATGCGCCAAGTTAATTTTTTTTTTAAAGTTAGCCAAGTGAGGGTGGCATCTGTGGCTCAAAGGAGTAGGCGCTGGCCCCATATGCTGGAGGGAGGTGGTGGGTTCAAACCCAGCCCTGGCCAAAAACTGCAAAAAAAAAAAAAAAAAAGGTTAGCCAAGTTAGCCAAGACTATAGGCTATTTGAAAGGCTAAGGCAAGAGGATCACTTGAGCCCAGAAGTTTGAAGTTATAATGAGCTATGATAAAGGCACTGTACTCTAGCCTTGAAAACTGAGCATTATCCTGTTTTAAAAAGCATAAATTATTAATTACTCCAAGTTCTTACCTGGCTTCTTAATGTTCCAATTTTCGTAAAATTTGCTGTCAGAGTAGCAGTATTGCTTGAAGCAACTGGTCTTAAAAGTGAAGATTTATTATGATTATTTGTGTCACACGAATTTAGGTGGGACTTACAAATATCCATAATGTGAAAACAGGACTTTACACTGCAGAAGAAAAAGGACAGGTTTTGTAGTAGCATTTTGAATACTCAATTTTAAATTAACATATATTAACAAAATAATCATTCCTAAAAGAAAAAAAAAATCCTATGGTTTGCACTTAATCTGCTTAATTCTGATAACATTTCTAACAGGAACTCCTATAAGAAAAGACTGAATTTCAGGCTGGGTACGGTGACTCACATCTGTAATCCTAGCACTCTGGGAAGCTAAGGAAGGTGGATTGCTTAAGATTAGAAGACCCACCAAATCAAGAGATCCCATCTCTACTAAAATTAAAAAAAACTAGCCAGGTATCATGGCGAGTGCCTGTAATCCCAGCTACTGAGGAGGCTGAGGCAAGAGGATTGCCTAAGCCCAAGAGTTTGAGGTTGCTGAGAGTTATAATGATGTCATGGCACTCAATCCAGGATGACAGAGTAAGACTCTGCCGTTAAAAAAAAAAAAAGACTGAATTTCCAAGCAAGTATACATTATATCTGCAATACTTTTTAAGACAGCAAAACAATAGTAAAGTGTGCTTTTTTTTTTTTTGGTAACCCAATTTATGAGTTCTATAGGTTCTAATAAATTTTTCCTAAATTTCTACATTTCCACATCGCTAAATTAGTAGTACCAAGTATGTGGTTATCATGCTAATTTCTTTTTTTTTTTTTTGAGACAGGAGCCTCAAGCTGTCCCCCTGTGTAGAGTGCCGTGGCATCTCAGCTCACTGCAACCTCCAACTCCTGGGCTCAAGCGAGTCTCCTGCCTCAGCCTCCCAAGTAGCCGGGATCATAGGCGCCCGCCACAACCCCTGGCTATTTTTTTTTTGGTTGCAGCCATCATTGTTGTTTGACGGGCAGGCTGGATTCGAACCCGCCACCTTAGGTGTACGTGGCTGGTGCCTTAGCCACTTGAGCCACAGGCGCCGAGCCTATCATGCTAATTTCAAAATGATTATATAAGAAAAATATTAGGACAGTTTTTAAGTGTTTGAATGAAAAATGCAATTGCACTTTTAAGAAGTATCAATAAAAAAAGAAATATTCAACTTTAAGGACAATTCACGATTATGAACGTAATTTCATTCCTGTGCTTTCTTCATTTAGTCTTTTCAAATTATTAAGGGAATCTGCTTTAAGTCACTTACTCTACTACCTTCATCTCATAAAACAGATGTCTGGGGCATAAAGAACTTGAAAGATTTGCCTAATGTAATTCTGATAAGGACTTCAGAATTTGAGCATATACACTCTACTCACTGAAAACCTGTTCTTCGCAATGCAGGGAAAAAGAGGAGGAAAAACATAAGCAAAGGTGTGAAGTAAAATGGAATTTGCTGGACTCAAAAAGGCCAGAATAGTCTAGGGTCCATGAAAACCGATATGTGAACTGGAAAAGAAAACGGTTAACATTTCCTTTTATATGCAGCTGGTTATTAATGTAAGAAAGTCATATTAAAAACAAAACCACTCAGTCATATTTTTGGTATGATATTTTGGAAAAAGAACAAGGACCATAGTTCAGACTTCTGTGCTAGTTCTCCTCTGCCACTTACTATCTGTGTGACCTTGGTCAAGTTAGCATAACCTCTTTAGATTCTGTTTACTTATATTTAATGAAGAAAAATCATTTTTCTAACACACTAATTTTCTGTATAGACTTATTATTATTATTTTTTAGAACTTAAGAGATTTTAAAGTAACATACTGGTTGCTATGAGGGAAATCTAGAAGATGTTTCATATTAACAAAAGAATGGTTCAGAGTCTCAACTGGAGTAATTCTTAAATCTGCATCAATCAGCAACATTTTCTTCAACAGGCTAACAAATTCTCTTCTATCAGCTTTCTCAGCCAAAAGATCACTTCCTTCCAAATCCATCACTGTGTTCACCTAAAAATAAATAAATAAATAAATCGAAATGTCAAGCAATCAAATTTTTTAAAAGGCATATAAAGTAGTGTATGTTAAAGGTTCATTGTTAAAAAATCAAAATCACAACACAGGACAGGACAGAAAACTACAATTATTTTAAAACAAAGAACAATTAAGATTAACAAATATGCAAAATGTTTTGAGGTACCAAATAGGATTCAAAGCAGATGGAAAAAAATCTTTTCTACTTAAACAAATATCCATTTGTAATGAAATATAGGGAAAAGAAACCTGCTTGCTAGGAGTTTTCCTTTTAAAGCAGTGGTGCTCAACCTTCCTAATGCCATGACCCTTTAATACTCTACCCACAAGTTGAGAACAGCTGTTTTAAAGCAAATACTTTTTATTAAAGAACAAGACAGTTAAATTTAAAATTTGATAAAGACAAATACCATTTAGTTCCTTAAAGGTTGAAAACTTAGAATCAATTTCATTTGAAAAACTAAACAGCAGGCACTTTGTAGCCATTTAGAAAATGAGTACCTTTCGGCACCCTTGGCACTCAAGTCTGCCATCTAAGCATGCAAAATTAACAAATGTGGCTTTGGTACTCACATTCGCTATATCATCCAGACTGTTGAATATGTACTTTCTGGCTTCTTTAGATTTCATTCCTGTCTCTGCCTCATGTTCTTCCAATGTCTTATTTGATACATCAAAGAGGAAGAAAGAATATATTATTATGTACTAAATGTACATTTTTATTTCTTTAATCTTGGCTCATTTACTCTTAACATAATGAATATTCTAAGGCAAACAGTAGTTTCAAAAGAGTAACTATCAAAAATGTATTTCTTTTTTAAAGTACACCAAAAAACTAAGTAGCACTTAGCTTAGGGCATGAAAAACATCACACATATGGCTAAGTATGGCTGGTCGCTCACACCTATAATCCTAACACTCTAGAGGCCAAGATAGATGTGTATTTCTTGAGCTCAGAAGTTTGAGACCAGGCTGAGTAATAGGGAGACCCTGTCTCTACTAAAAATAGAGAAAACTGAGGCAAGAAGATCATTTGAGCCCAAGAATCTACGAGCTGTAAGGCCACAGCACTCTAGTCAGAGTACCAGAGTGAGACTCTGTCCCCGTCACCAAAAAAAGAAAAAGAAAAGAAAAACATCACATCTCTGTTAAACCCCTTAAACAAAGTAACTAATTATAAAGTTAAACACTGAGAATGTATTGATCCCTCAAAGATTCTAGCATACTTGGAATATATAGTAAGAGGTTACATTCAGTCCCTGTCTTTATAAAGCTTAATAATGTCAAACTGAGTACAGAAAGTAAATACACAACACAAATATAGTTATATACATAAAAGTTAAAAAAATTAAGATGAGTTAATAATTATGTTATCAGGCTCGGCGCCTATAGCTCAACCGGCTAAGGCACTAGCCATGTACACCTACGGTGGCGGGTTCGAATCCCCAGCCCAGACCCGCCAAACAACAATGACGGCTGCAACCAAAAAATAGCCAGGCGTTGTGGTGGGCGCCTGTGGTCCCAGCTACTTGGGAGGCGGAGGCAGGAGACTCGCTTGAGCCCAGGAGTTGGAAGTTGCTGTGAGCTGTAATGCCACAGCACTCTACCCAGGGGGACAGCTTGAGGTTCTGTCTCAAAAAAAAAAAAAAAATTATGTTATCAGATTAGAAAATTAGCTAAATTATTCTGAAAGGGTGTTTTTTTCTTAAAAAAGAAGGGTAAAAAATGAAAATTTAAAAGAAATTCAATAAAAGTAAATATGGAAGGTATTGCTCACATATTTGAGGCATCTTAGAAAACTTTTTTTTTTTTTTTTTTTTTTTAAGAGATAGAGTCTCACTTTGTTGCCCTCAGTAAAGTGCTGTGGTGTCACAGCTCACAGCAACCTCCAGCTCTCAGGCTTAGGCGATTCTCTTGCCTCAGAGTAGCTGGGACTACAGGCACCTGCCACAATCCCAGGCTATTTTTTTGTTGCCATTTGGCCGAGGCCAGGCCAAACCCCCCACCCTCCGTATATGGGGCCAGCACCCTACCCACTGAGCCACAGGCACCTCCCAGAAAAATTGTTTTTCTAAATATTATCTTTTTTTAATGAAATTACCTTTAATCTCCAACCAGAATGAATCATATCTGTTTCTTTGCAAAAAAATCTTGTAGATTTCGTACCCACATTCAACAACTGTTCTCCTGGTAAACCTTGAGTCTGAGAAATGTATCGAATCTGAAAAATAATTTACAAAACAGAATATTTTATTCTTTCATTTATAAATGTCACTGAAACATCAGACACTAGGCTAGATGTGAGTAATGAAAAGATATCGTATGTGCCCTCAGAAATTCACAGTCTAGTGGAGAACACACATGGAAACAGAGTTATAAATACCATAAAAATTCATGCTTGGTGGAAAAACAGAGAGAGCATACCTAACTTAATTGCAGTCAGATAAAGTTCCAGAAGAAGCGATGCTCAAGTTGGGTCTTAAAGGACAAACAGCAGTTAGAACTGGAGGGAGGGGGAAAACCTGACTATACTCAAGTTGTATTAAGTATAAATATAGAAAATCAAGAGAGAATACCCACATATTCAAAGACTGGGAGTAGAGGGTACTTAGAAAAAAATGGCAAGAGACGAAATTGAATTAGCAGGCAAAGGGCATTATCAGCAAAATAAGAAGTTTTGATTATGTTCCAAGAGATAATAATTAAGAAAATTATTGGAGACATTTAAGCAGTAAATTAACAACTTATATTTTTAAAGTAATGTCTGAGAATGAGTGAGGGGATAAGGCCAGAAGAAACAAAGGTAATCTGAATTGAAAAACTGAATGGGAACCGAGAGGAAGGAGTGGATTCAAAAGAGGTTTAAGTTAATAAAGAGTGGGTGAGTTACTACCATGGAGTTTGAAGGGGACACTGGCATGAGACACTGATAAATGCCTAGTTGTGTCTGTAACACAGATGTGGGTATAAAGGAGCCCTCCCAGGGAGAATACTAAGAACCTCCAGCCTCAGGGCCTCTAAACTTACTATTTCTTCCGTGTGGAACACTCTTTCCCCAGATACCTACCTAGGCTCTCTCGCTTCCTTCAGCTCTGTTCAAATGTTACCTCTTCTTGAGGCCTTCCATGACCCACCAACAAACAACAGCAAGCTCTGTCCTTCTCAGTACTACCTAATTCTCCTGGTCCTTCACTATCCCATAGTCTGTGCATTTGTTTTCCATTTTCTTACCCCACTCCCCATAGAATCCTTTCCATGAAAGGAAGAATTTTGTTTTGCTTACTTATGTATCCCCAGTACGCATGATAGTACTTGATACATAGCAGGCCCTCAAATATGGGTTCCCCCTACTTACTAACTAGAAAATATATTGTCTTTCCATCCTTCCTTCTTAGGAATACTCAACTCCTTAAACCTATATTTAAGAATAAATGGGGACTTTTTTTTTAACCTGAAGGACTCTGCTCTGTCAATTAGTCCAACTTCTCCTACATCTTCTAATTTTTCCTCTCTACGAGCTCTCTCTCTCCACTGACTACAAAAAATGTTCAGTATCTTCCATCCTCGGAAAAAAAAAATAAAACAAAACAAAACCTCCCTTAACTTCACTATCTATTTTCTCACTCTTTAAGACCCTTAAAATAGCAGCCTATATATATTTCACCTTCCATTCATATCTCAACACAATGCAATCTGAACTTTCATCACCCTCGTGATATGGTACAAAGATAAGTAATGGCCTATTAATAACAGACACATTTAATAGTCACACATAAATCCTTATCTTACTTAGACACTAACAGCAATTGCCTTTTTACATAAAAACTCTGCTCATTCAATTTCCATGACACCATTATTTCCTGGTTCTTTTCCCGTTTCTTGACACTCTTTTAACTGCTTTCCTCTCTTGTTCGTTGGATGACATTGCTTTCCAGCGTCTCATCTGTTTTCCCTCTACAAGTTTCAGGTGCCCACAGTTTTCTCTCTTATTTGTATCTTAATCTTTAACTCTGAAGCTTCAGACCCAACTGCTTATTGAAACTCTTTACCTGTCCAGAATTTAGATACCTCAAACTGGACATATCCTAAACTGATTTCTCCCCAAATCAGCTAATCCTTATTTATTTCCTCCTCTGATTAACACCAACACCATCCACCCAAATGAAAAATCTGAAATTTATGCCAGATTTATGTCTTTCCCTTATCACCCTCCCCCAACATCCAAAAGCCTAATAATTTTACCTCATTAACATTGTGATAACTGTCCCCTCCTCTCCATCTCTTTTTCAGGGATGGAGTTACACAATTTCACAAGCCTCCTAATTACTCTACTTGGCTCCAGTCTTCCCTAATATTCCCATCCACTCACCCCCAATTAATTATTCACACTGTTACCAGACATTCTGGCAAAACGTAAATCTGTTGCTCCCCTGTGTAAAACTTAATAACCCTTTACTGCCTACACTTTGCATGGGCCAGTTTTTTCTCTCCTATATTGCTAACTCCTACTTATCCAATGTACCTATTTCCCCTTCCCCCAAACCCATGTGACAACTTTTACTATGTGTTCCTCAAGACCCAGTTTGAGACAAGGAAACCCAGTTTGAGAATGTTCTCTACAAAGCCATCCCTGACAGTGCCAAGCAGAAGTAACTACTCTCCTAGGTGACACCATCACATCTAGAGCACAACTTTAATGCACTTATAACATTATGTTATTTTTTTTAATATGTCTGTTTTCCAACTGATTCTGAGCCTCCTCAAGGGTCTGTTTTATCCACATTTGTTTCCTTTTTTATATAATATGTAAAATGACAACTAAATCTCTACATTACAAATTACCTTCATTTCACTAAAGAACTATCTCTTCCTTCCACCACCACCTACCCCCAAAGTAGCTAAATTCCTTATTTTAAGTAAACAAAAAATGAAAGGAGAAAGTATCAAGTTTGGTACTAGATGTAGCACCAGATAGAAAAGCCATCAATAATTCAATTTCAACAAACATACCTAGAGCATCTATTATGTGTTAGATGATAAAGATATGCAGATGAATAAAACATGTTGCCAACCTCCCAAGTATATAATTCAGTGGAATAGATAAATATTTAAGCACGTAACTTGCAATTAAGCTAGTAAGTGCCACTGAAGAAGGAAACAAAGTGCTAAGAGAACACAGAGAGTAGAGTAATTAATGTGCGTGAAGGCTTAGGAAGCGTGAAGGCTTAGGAAGGCACTGCAAAACCAAAACAAAACAAAGTGGCAAGCAAAGCTCTTAGAGTTTATTACTGGTCATAATGCCTGCCCAGTCTTTTCTGTAGAGATGAGCCTTGTTCCTGCCCAGGTTGGTTGTGAACGCCTGATCTCAAGCAATCCTCCTGCTTCGGCCTCCCAAAGTGCTAGCATTATAGGTGTGAACCATATCACCCAGGCTGAATATTGTTAATCTGGATCAGACAACAACTATTGTACATTGTTATTTTTAAACCACCTGTTATAGAATTCAGAAAAATTGGGTTTTGGTCAGAGCTTTCTCTTTAACATTACTATTGTGACTTTTGACAAGTCAACTCATTTTCCTGGACCTTAGTTTTCTCCTTTATAAAACAGGAAGGGCTATTATTAGGTAATCCCAGGGTACTTTTCAGTTCTTAGACATCAATTATCTAAGACTAGAATTATGAAATCCAAATCTAGAGCAGGCTAGCAAATGAACTTCGCCGTTGCCACTAGATGGTGTCCTGCTCCCGAGTACTATGGATGCCATAACTGTAATCCACAAAGGCAAGGCTGCATTTCTAACACCTGACTGGTGCCTCAGTATTTCAGCAGCTAAGGGATTATGGGACTCTCAGATTAGATTTCCAACTCTTGCACAACTGGCAAGAGTCTAGCATCTGCATCAAAGTTAGTAGTTGCATAAAAAGCTGAAGGAGGCCAAGATGTATGGAAAATTTCACAGAAACTATAACATCCATGAGGGAGAGAAGGTAGAGAATATAGAAATCTGAGCTAAAAGAGAAGGATCATGGGTAGAAAGTCATTGGAAAATAAAGAGATTAAAGTCAATGATAACATCTAATTTAATAATTAATATTAAATGATTTTTAAAGTCATCTCAGAAACATTTAAGTCATCAAAATTAATTACCTCTCTTGTTTTTTTTAATATAGAAAACAGTCCTGAAAAATCAGAGTAAGGGTACAACATATATGATTATTTGGTGTGCTTCAAAATGTTGTTTTCTATTTTTCCTTGCTTAAAAGCTGAATAATATATCTCCTAAATAAAAATTATATTTATCCACTATAAGCCAATAGAAGGACAAAATTAATATAACCAGACCGACTGCCATGGCTCACACCTGTAATCCTAGCTCTCCGAGAGGCTGAGGTGTGTGGACTGCTTAAGCTTATGAGTTTGAGACCAGCCTGAGCAAGAGTGATACTCTGTCTCTACCAAAAATAGGAAAATTAGCCAGGTGCTGTGGCGTGCATCTGTAGTCTCAGCTACTGGAGAAGCTGAGGCAGGAGGATGACTTGAGCCCAGGAGTCTGAGATTGCTGTGAGCTAGGCTGACACTATGGTACTCTAGCCTGGGCAACAGAGTGAGACTATATATTAAAAAAAACAAACAAAAAAAAACTGGTATAACCACTTTGTTGATTTTGACTAAAATTTTCTATAAAATGAGTTAAGTATGTATTTCTCTAATAAGGGTGATACAGAATAATAAATAACAATTTCTCCAAAAAAGAAACTTAGTACTAAAAATCAAGACAATTGCAAACAACATTATCTAATAATTTAGAAATCATTAATAATTTCTAATGAATATATCTAAAAACTACCATGAAAAAGGTGTCTAATGAGGGAATTTGCTGGATCCTACTGATAATTATTAAAAGTGCTAAAAGAGACAGCACCAGGGAAAAAACGGCTAAAAAGAATGAAGAGGGTTCAAGTGATTGAGATACTTAACACCAATAATGGTTGTGGTTTTAAGACCAAAAGATATAATACCTTTTAAAAGCTTTTATTCCTTGGGAGAGGCTGACATTTCACACATCATTAGAGTCTGTCAACCAAGCAAAGCCCAATAAATTAAATGGACACAATCCAGCCCTTTACATGTCCAGTATAAAATAGAAAAGAAAATTTCTTCCAAAAATTTTACAAAACATGTTTTGAGAGCCTATAGATAACTTTTAAAAAAATTACTTCATCATTATAAATGTTTTCAAAATCAAGTACTACTTTTGAGAGTTTGAACTTAAATTCTCTAGTATCCCAGGTTTTGCCACTTCATGTTTAAAAGATATCATGTGTATTTTATACTTTAAGGACATGCATTCCTTTTAATCTATGATTACTTTTTACTTTCTACCAATTCTACTAGATTACCATGATAGTTCTATTTGTTACCTGATCATACTCCAAGGCTCCTGGGTAGAGTGGCCATCCAAGGAATAATTCTGCAATCACACATCCCAATGACCACATGTCTATGGCTTCACAAAATGGCAACCCCAATATAATCTCTGGAGCTCTGAAATTAAAAAAAAAAAAGTCAGAGTGGTTTTTCTTTAAAATTACCTAATTTTATATGCCATTCTAATAAACGGTAGTAAAATAACAGAGCAATCATTTTGTGCTCATAGTAAATCTTCACTATGCCAAAACTCTTTGAAACCTAACTGTAATCTTGAATTCATCTGGAAAACATGCTATAAGGTACATCAGTATGATGAAATCTCTTCATGATAATCCTTTTTACCTTATATAGAGTTTTATTAACATAAAAAAATATATAGATCTTGTTTGGGGACAAAAGCAGATTAGAAATAACACATAGAAAGCTGGCCAACCATTAAAGACATGTACTATAACACAAACACAACTGAAAACCAGACATTGAGGGATAAGACCAAAACAAAACAAAAATTCCAAAGGCTGAAAGTGAAACCAGACCTAGATATTACTTCAGAATACAGTAATAAATCTTTACCTAATTGGAGTCTTTAGTCATCCAAAAAGACAAAGCCAAGTCCAATGTATTCTGTTTCAAAAGGCAGAAGAGTATAAGATACAACAAAACAGTTAAAAATTACTTTAGTACTTACAGGGTTTTAGTTACTAGGAAACTGTGCCCCATGAAATATATCATTCTCAGATAAATTATGTTGCTACTTGACCTGGCTTTCCCCTGAGAAGACTGACATCCTAAGACAGGTTCCATGTACAGCTGTATAATTCCAAAGGAACTCATACATATCATAGTTATCCTAGAGTTGTGTGTTCCTGTGTTCATATGAATTTTAGTTTTTGAAAGTCTCAATCTTACAGAGAAGTTGCAAGTACAGTCCAACAAGCTTTTTTTCCTAAACCACTCAAGAATAATTTGGCAAATTACTATGTACTTTATACTTTCTACACACAAAAATATTTCCTACAAAACCAAGATACAATCATCAAAATCAGGAAATGAACACTGATACATCTCTACCATATAAGGCTCAGACTCCATTCAAGTTTGGTCAACTGTACTAATAATATCTTTTTGGCAAACGGATTCAACTCAGAACCATACACTGTATTTAGCTGTCATATCCCTTTCAGTCTTTTTCAGTATGTAACAGTTCTTCGAACCTGCCTTGATTCCCATGACCTTTGCATAAGACATTACAGGCCAGTTATTTGTAAAAATGTCTCTCAGTGCGGGTTTTGCTGCTGTTTCCTGATAATTAGGTTCAGGTCAGAAATTTCATGAGAGGAATATCACAGAAGTGGTTTCTCCTTATTGGACCTTATCAGGTGGCACACAACTGATATGCTCCATTATTAATAATTTTTACTTTGATGGTTGGATTACTATGGTGTCTCCTAGACTTCTCCACTATTAAGTGTCTCCTTTTTCCTTTGGAACTGTTTCGTGCAATGGATATAAATAATCCATTCCTTATCAACCTTGTAATGTATTCATTATTTGCTGTATGAGTACAGATTAATGGTTTCTGTTTTATTCAATGGCTTATAATTCATTACTATAATTATTTGACTCTCAAATTTTCCCTGATGTGACCAGTCAGAACTCCCTCAAACTTTTATGTTTTTTGTCACCTCCCCACCTTTCTTTGTTTATTTTCTTTCTGATGCAGCAAGATAGTAAACGTTCATCTTATTCATTCCCTGCTCCAGCCCTATAAGCCATTTCTCTGAAGATCACTGGTTTCTTTTAATGTAAAATGGTACTTGGAAACAAAGATCAAGAAGCTATGGGTCCTCATTACTACTACCGTGTTTCCCCGAAAATAAGACACTGTCTTATATTTATTTTTTCTCAAGAAGACACACTAGGGCTTATTTTTAGGGGATGTCTTATTTTTATTAAGTATAATACAACAATCTACATTTATTCAAATATAGTTAAGTCAAATATAGTTATTCTTCTGGAACCTGACAGGGGAGCTGACCTTGTTGGTGGGGCTGGCACTAGTGATGTGTGAACTCCTTTCTCCTAGCCCTTAACACGTGCACAATAGGATGCCTGTGACTGCAGTTAACACACGTGCACCCCCACAGGTGCAAGGCTCGGAGAAAGGAGCTATGGCAGATAAAAGGTATGCATGGCGTGGCTATGCAGCATCTTATTATCCGGGTAGGGCTTATATTTAACAAATGCATAGAAATCCCACTAGGGCTTATTTTTTGGGTAGGTCTTATTTTCAGGGAAACATGGTAGAGTGATTCTCAGGCCCTCTCAGTACATATTTAATATCACCTATGGATAAGCAGAATAAACCTTCCGCTAATTTCTTAACTGAGACTGACAGTTGTTAATATCTCCTAAGGTTTTCTCAATCTTAGCTGTACCTTAAATTAAAATCCCGTGGTCCTGGTAACACCAAACTAAAGTCCTAGTTAGATCAATCGGAAAACTCTCCCATTTCCTCTCCATAGCTCTTCCAACAGAATAAATTCAAATGACAATGAATAAGCTGTTTTCTACCATAGAATTGGGATCTGCCCAGTGAATCTTGTACTCTTGGTTGTCTCCTTTATAACTGATACCTAAGATTCAGTAGACCCTTAGTCAATCCACAAACAATTGTTGAAATAATTAAGAACCATGGAGATACTCCATTAGGCTTAAAAGATCTTTAAGACATAGCCATAAAAGGCTTTCATTCTTTTGATAAAATATTTAGGTATCTGGATGGATGTATACACATGAATTATATTTCGATATAATCAAGTACTACAACTTGTAGAAAGAGAAAAATAAGTAAGTTACACTAAGTTGCCAATCCTAAATACTCACAATATTGTATAGAAGTAGCTAGAGAAGAGGGAAATCTCTCTTTTTGTTCACTATTGTATTCCCAGAACCTAGCAGAGACAGTGAACATTTCACACATAAATCATTCCGACACAGTGAGTGAACACAAAGGAAAGCACCAGTGTGAAGCCTTGAACTAGATCTTAAAGTATAGAAGTCTAGGTGAAAGAAAGAGAATTGGACACAAGAATTAATAACCTGGCTGGATGCTGTGGCACATGCCTGTAATCCTAGCACTGTGGGAGACCAAGGCAGGAGGATTGCCTGAGCAAGAGTGAGACCTCGTCTCTAAAAATAGCTGGGCCATATGGCAGGCGCCTGTAGTCCCAGCTACCCAGGAGGCTGAGGCAAGAGGATCTCTTGAACTCAAGAGTTTGAACACTCTACTGAGTGTGACAAAGTGAGACTCTGTCTCAAAAAATAATAATAATAATGAATAACCTATGCTAAAACAAGGATAGCATACAAAACAGATTAACTACTGATGGTTAATCATGTACTAATCTGACTGCTAAAGAAGAACCTATTATGACTAATAAGACTACCACTGTGTGTATGAAAGCTTTATGATTGTTTTGAAATATTTAATATAAAAATTCATAGAATTTGAAATTTGTTATTGTGGGAATTTTCAATATCAATTTACCAATGAAAGTAACAGAATGATAGTAACTAGACATACAACTTAAGGAAAATGAAAAAATTATTTGAATTATGTTAAAAGTAAAAAAAGTTTCTGTCAATCAAAGAGCAACAAATTCCTTCTGCATTTGCTACCATTTAATGAATGAGCCAAGTTTCTAATTGATGGTGACAGGAATACAGAGATATTTTTATAAAATCTTGACCAGAAATTGCACATAGCCACTCCAAACATAAGAAACGTAAGATATAAAAGTTATGTTTATAGAAGTGAACTCAAATTTCTCATTTAAAGAATGAACTTTATCGGCTCGGCGCCTGTGGCTCAAGCGGCTAAGGCACTAGCCACATACACCTAAGGTGGCAGGTTCGAATCCAGCCTGGGCCTGCCAAACAACAATGGCTGCAACCAAAAAATAGCCAGGCATTGTAGTGGGTGCCTGTGATCCCAGCTACTTGGGAGGCTGAGGCAAGAGACTCGCTTGAGCCCAGGAGTTGGAGGTTACTGTGAGCTGTGATGCCACAGCACTCTACCCAGGGGGACAGCTTGAGGCTCTGTCTCAAAAAAAAAAAAAAAAGAATGAACTTTATCTACAAGTTTCATACAAGTTTATTATCTATTATTACATCAGTTCAGATCCTCTGAGAAGCAAACTAAATGTGCCAGAAATTTGTTGGGGAAGATGTCTGTGAAGGACAAAGGGGGAGGAGGAAGCAGAACAAGGTGAAGAGAGCCCTCAAACCTCAAGTAGGTCTGATACCTGTGAAAATAGAAAGACAAAGGAGGAAATGGGTAGAAAGAAATTAGGTCAGCAGTGCAGTTATGAGAAAGCAATGATTAGGCCAATATGGAGTCCTTTAGCAAAAATTACCCATTTGAGGAGCCAATCATCAAGCAAAAATAACCCAGCTCTATCTAGCACAGCCATTGTGTCTGGTCAAGGGATCGGGAAATGCAGCCTGAGCCTGAGCCTGAGCCTGAGCCTGAGCACTGCAGTGTATCTCAAGGGGCAGCAGCTACACGCTCTCAGCTGGCCCATACAGGAGGCTTTTGTTTTTTTAATCTGTATAAATTTATGGGGTATAAGTTTTATTACATGCCAACATAGTGTTATACTGAAAAGTGGTGGAGTCAGGAATTTTAGGTTATATGTCACCTTAAAAAGGTACATTGTATCCATTAAGTGATTTCTCATCATCTATAACCTCCCACCCTCCTACCTTTCCAAGTCTCCACTCTCTATGTCCATAAATATGTATCATTAGTTCCCACTTATAAGTGAGAACATGTGGTATTTGTCTTTCTCTGGCTGACATATTTCCCTTAAGATAATGGCCTCCAGTTCCATCTATATTGCTGTAAAAGACATGATTTCATTCCTTTTTTGTGGCAGAATAGTATTCTATAGTGTGTGTGTATATGCGCATGCCACATTTTCTTTAACCAGTCATCCATTGATAAACACTGGTTTCCACATCTTTGCTACTAAAAACAGTGCTGTCATAAACATTCAAGTGCAGGCACCTTTTTGATATGACTTCTTTTCCTTTAGATAGATACCCAGAAG